CCCAGTCCAAACCACCTCAGTCTCCCCTGGATTATTCTAACAGCCTCCTAACTGAGGGCCCTGCTTCCAGCCATCTCCCTTTAGCGTATACTCTCAAGACAGCAGGCATAGCAACCCTTTACAGTGTAGGTATAATCACATCACTCCTCTGCTCAAAACTCGAGAACGCTGCCTGCTCCTTCAGATGACAGCGGAGCCCTTGCAATGACTTACCAGCCTCCGCCACTGGGCCCTTCTGCCCCTTCTGCTCCACCACATGGGTCTTCTCGCCTGTCCTCCAGCCTGTCAGGCACACTCCCACCTCAGTCTCCACAAGTGCTGTCCCCTGCCTGTAACGCTCACCCCACAGACTCACGGCTCCCCATCCTGCTTCCTTTCAGTCTAGGCTCAGATGGTGCTTTCTCAACACGGCCAACTGACCACCCTACTTGCAATGTCAGCCTCCTGCCCTACTCGGGCACTTCTGACCCTCCTACCCTACTCAACCACAGTTTTCCCACAGCAGTCACTGCCTCTTCACACGCGATTTACTGCACACTCTTCTATCTGCTGTCCACCTCCTCCACTAGAGTGTCGGCTCCACGAGAGCAGGGCTTTTGTTCACTGTCGAATTCCAGCATCTAGAAAATGGCCTGATCGCAACAGGCACCGAAAAGTGCTTGTTCAGCGAATGAATGAAAAGGAGGGTATAAAACAAAAGGCAGGACAAAATGGGAAATGCATTCAGTGGCTTTTGGTATTAGAGACATTTCTGGGGCCAAGCGGATCCCAACGCAAGTTTTATTTTCTGTTAAAGCTTAGTTCAAAACCAAGCTTTGCCAGCAAATTTCAGTATGCTTCTCTGCTGTATTTAGTTTAGAACCTTACATTAATTGCTTATCTCTTTTGGAACACTTCACCAACTTCTCTCTCCACTAGTATGCCACCAGGTACCTCAGGTAGATACCTTATTATCCATGAATTAGTAATTCCTTAACAAATTTCCTTTCCCAGTGCATTTTGAGGGGTGATTACTGGTCCAGACCTACTGGTTCCATTCTGGACTGGGAGAGCTATATTGCTAACTTTGAGGGTAAGATTTTAGCGATTTTGTTCAGATTGAGCGCCATCTGATTTGCCTAAAAGCCACAGGGATTTTGGGGGTGGTGAAGCATTTTCCTAATTGCAGTATGGAAATTCTTACTTCCTGCCAGATGTTAACTACCCACCCATGTCAAGGACAGCAGAAGAATGCTGATGCTCTACCCAATGAGTCTTGGTACTCAGAGTAGGTTTTTAAGTTGTACTCCAAGAAGATGTTCCTTCACTCAAGGAGGTGGGATGCTACTAGCAGGTCAGTTCCTGTAAACTGCTGAGTGAAAAACTAAATGGATGAACAGGGGATGGAGAGGACACACTCTCTAACTTCAGGTCTGCTTCCTACAGTCAGGTGAAAGGCTCTCTGACACAGGCACGGGTGCTCACCTACACAGCTTGGATGTCCCTGAATACTTCTTGACTTCTCTGGGTCTCAGTTTTCTTAACTGTAAACTGAGGTTCCTAACTCAAGTTATCTCTAAATTCCCAAAAGTTGGGAGGCAAGTAACTTTACCACACTGAACTGGGTTCTTCAACAATTCCTTTAAAACAAAAGCCATCTGTCTACCCAGCTTCTCTAGGGCACCATTCTGCTTGTTCACCAACATCTTTCTGTTGACTGCCTGTGCCCCCTAGTGATAAATTCAATTATACAACAGAATTGGCTTGGAAAGATCTGATCCAGAGGAGAAAGTAGGGGAAAATAACAAGAATGCAGTAGATAAACTCATCGTGAAGCAAAAGGCAGGCAGGCCCAGGTGTGGGTAAAAAGATGGAAAGAACCCAGACAGCCATCCCCCACACTGTGCCTATGACCCCCCACATTCTGTGCAATTACCACCAGGAAAGAAAACACACATGCTCCTGCTACACAAGCATTTTCAGGTATGACTGGAATAATCTTCCTCACATTCAGACTCAGACTCAGTGTCTTTTCACTTGGCAAGATGAGGATCTATTAGACTTCTGGAGACTATCTGTGTGGATAACGCAACAGATTTGCTTAAAACACGTCTGTTGAGGACCTGCTAAGACATCAAATTATATATTAATCGCCAGTCTCACCAGTCCATGGATTTACCAATGGGGATGGGTTTTGACTAAAACCATGCACAATATTGGGCTTAAGCCAAGTCGCCAGCCTTCTAAGCATCGTTTCATGGTGTCACCACCACAGAAATGCATGACTGGTCTTCCTCTATCACATAATTATTAACAAACATCAGGGCCATAAATCTTGTCTGTATATAAATGCTGCTTACAATTTTCTAGTTAGGTACACAAAAAGAAGAAATGGATTTCAGTGATGTCAACAGGGATTTAGGTTAAACAACAGAAAGCCTTCTTAACCATGCTGTTGTTACTGATATATGGGCGTGAGAGGTTAAAGAATCTTCTTTTGAAATCTTTAAGAGGAGGAAAATAAGAGTCTGTACATATTCGGAATCATTTTAGTTCTAACCCTGACTGGAGACATAAGTTGAAGGTAATAACCACTGAAAGTTTCCTGTCTACCCTTAAAATCAAATATTATTACTGTACAATTTCATATATACGAGGTTCAAGAACAGGCAACACTAATCTACGGTGACAGAAATCAGAAGCGTGGTTGCCTCCCATGGGACAGGGAAGGAGGTACGAGGCAACTTTTCAAGGTGTTGGAAAAGTTCTGTATCTTGATTTGAGTGGTGTTTATACTGGTGGATACAATCATCAAAACTCATCAAATAGTCCACTTAAGATCTGCGCATTTACTGATTGTAAATTATATCTCAATTAAAAAAATCGACGTCGGAGACTTGGAAAGAGTTAATTTTAAAAATAACGGATTCCACCACTCTTAAGGAACAGGCTAAGACAGAGAAGGGAACTGTCATGACCTCAATGGCAGATATAGTTTTATGGAACCAAAAACAAAGACAAGAAAGAACTGCCCTGGCTTCTCAGCAGTATCCATGTGATGAGCTAACAGTGCCACTTCAACAGAATGCCCCTCCTTTGGTTGGCTCAACTCTGCTGCCTGATGGAAGGACACAGAGGTTGGGGAGAAAGAGTGGCCATAAGTTATTACTGACTGTCTTGAAGTAGGATGGCAGCAATTTACATTGGGCCATGACCAGCATGTTGCTCTGTGGGTCCATATGGATAACGGCATCATGCCTGCTAGCGTCAGAAGAGAGTACTTGAGAAAAACGCTAAGAGTTTCATCGAAATAAACTGGAGTAATGAAGCAAGCCAACGTCAGGCTTTTACAAAAAAGATGCCTCGCCCTGTGATGACTCATCACTGTCTATCCTTTCACACTGTTGGTGGGGCTGGAGAGGAGCACCTGGAATATGCTTGTACCGACTCTGGCTCGCCTGCATACATTCAAAGTCACCAGTCTAGAGAGAACAGGCTATTTATTCTTCTCTTAAGATTCATGTTGGCATCTGCTTGACACACGGTAAATGCTAGGAGATGCCCTAAGCAACTGGATGAGTGAAACATTTTTCAGTCTGATAAATGACTTTCACACCAAACCTCAACAGTCCCTGCTCTTCCTCACCAATCAGAAAATCTTTTCTATGATTTTAAGTCAATGGTCCTAAAATGAAATTCTCTGGGAAGCACTGCATCAAGAACATCTTAGTTTTCCTTATATGGTGGATTTTCCCGTGCCAAGTACTTTGGAAAGACAGACAAAGATTTTCACTGACAAAGACATTCCACGACCACAAAGCCTTCCTCGTCACAACTCCCTTTATGAAGTTAAAGGCCTCTATAACCCTCCAGGGATTATAGTCCATTTCAGTGCTCTGTACTCTATTACTCAGATTCTCTCTTTAGGTATCTCAAAATTCCCCAAAGCAACTTTCCTATATTCACTCTTTCTGTCTCCAAAAGCCATTCCAAGCCCCTTGAAAAACTGAAGAGTCGCTGTTTGCACACACGCACACACACACTCCTCGCCCCAAGGGAACCTCCATGTGGTATCTCCACATGACAGAGCTCATCTTTGTGAAGTAGCTCCAGCTTCAACCAAGGGCAACTCTCACCTATGTCACCACTAGTCATATGGGCATTGCTTTTTGGAAGGCCACTATTGACTACTTTGGATCTTGACTAAAATATAGGCAGGTCAATGACATAACATAGTATTTCTAATTCCTCTGCTAACAATGAGTTGTCAGTTTTCAGTATGGGTTATTCAATATATTCTGAGAACATACTTTCAACTAACTGTAGGGTACAAAAAGGTCATCTTTCTACATAATTTCTAATAGAAACACATGTAGTCTCAACTCATTTAGTCAATAACAAATCCTATTCTTCCTGAAAAATGGTACTAATAAGAAAACCACTAACTTGCTATCATGCTTGAGTGGCTTACAGGAAGCTGAAGTCTCAGGAAACCAGGGCCCAGGCCATCCACAGTGGAGAAAAGCTGGATGCCAGGCCTTACAGGGTCTGAGTTACCTAAGAGCCAAGGAGTTTAACCTTACTTCAAAGTCAAATATAAATGACTTTTAGATTGTGTGATGTTTACATTCTTCTCATTTATGATTCCTTCTATCAGTGTAGATCCATAAGAGAAAGAGTATCACTTTTCACTTTCCTTCCAAAGATTCCAAAGTACTTTATACAATCCAATAGCATGCTCACGAGAGAGAAAAAGAAGACAAACAGAGCCGACAATTGTGTGAGTGTTTGGCAGTAGGCAAAGAAAAATGTAGAAAACTTGTTTAAGAGCAAGAGCATTCTTACACCATGTAAGAAAAGAGCACCACCAACTAACACTGCCACATTTCTCAAAGGAATGTCTATCTCCAAACTCTCCCTCAGCCCAAATCTGCATAGGACCTGCTCTTTCTTCTACTAAAACTGTGTGCACACCAGCAAGGCTGAGCCAAAAGGGATACGCCTCACTGGCTGTCGCTTACCCATGCTTCTCTGACCTCTTCAGAGCCATCAGTTTCATCTTCCTGAAAAGGAAGGAAGAAGAAAAACAAGAGGATGGATCATGGTCACAAACATCCTTGAGAGCAATAAGGTTAGCCCCATCAATTGTGCATCTTGGCATTTCACACAGGGGCGATGAGAACTGACTGCCAAGTGAGGCTCTGTTACTACTGCTTTTTCTTTTTGTGAGGAAGATCGGCCCTGAGCTAACATCTGTTGCCAATCCTCCTCTTTTTGCTGAGGAAGACTGGCACTGGGCTAACCTCCATGCCCATCTTCCTCCACTTTATATGGGCGGCTGCTGCAGCACGGCTTGATAAGCAGTGTGTCGGTCTGCACCTGGGATCCGAACCCATGAACCCCAGGCCGTCAAAGTGGAGAGTGCGAACTTAACCACTATGCCATTGGGCCAGCCCTGTTACTGCTGCTTTGAATAGTCCGCCACAGGCAGACAGCTTAGGAACACCACCTGTAGTCAAAAACATCAAATGACCAACAGCTAGAAAAGGGGCATCTTTAAGAAAGACAGACTTTATTTCATGTCTGTCAATAGTTATCAGTCTATAACAATGAAATACTTTTATCTAAAGAACAGTTTCTAATACAATATCTAAAGAACAGTTTCTAATAGATGAGTATTACTGTCTCACTGAATGGCTTATCTAATTTTCAAATGAGTCACTGGTAACCAGAGATCTCTTGATTATTGGCCACTTGATTTTTTTTTTTTTTGCTGAGGAAGATTCACCCTGAGCTAACGTCTGTTGCCAATCTTCCTCTTTTCTTGCTTGAGGAAGATTAGCCCTGAGCTAACATCTGTGCTAATCTTCCTCTATTTTATATGTGGGCTGCTGCCGCAGCATGGCTTGATGAGTGGTGTGTAGGTCTGTGCCCAGGATCTGAACTTGGGAACCTGGGCCACTGAAGCAGAGCTCACCAAACTTAATCACTACACCGTGGGGCCAGCCCCTTGGCCACTTGATTTTTAAAATGCCAGTAACAAAGTTGCGTGAGAAGAGTACAGAACAAAAGGGTGGATTAAAGTACTGAGAGTGTGTTTGCAGTTAGTAAGCACTGGTGCAAACCCAAAGTTAATCTGTTTTATATTATTTGTTCCTTTGTTCCTTCAAAAGAGTAAAATTGAGTCAGATGAACTTGTGTTACTTAGAGATTTTAAGTTCCTTGAAATTCTTGTAGTGCTACTAAAATATTTAGTTAGAATCTCTGCTTATATGGGGTTTTAAGATATTGTTGACTAATTACATGACTTCTAGGGAATACTGGAGAGGACTGCTATAATCTGACAAGCTTGCTGTGTTTTGTTTATGTGGTTGTAGTAATTTTCCAAGGTCTTCATTCTTCACCAGTTATTCACTGTGTGCCTACCATGTGCTTAGCACCACTCTAAGCGCTGGGCATCAAGCAGGAATATACCAAACGAGTCCCACACTGGCTGAGTCTTTCTTCTTCTCTTTTCCTCAGGAATATTTCTTGACAATCTGCAAGACTCACGGCTCCATGTGGGACTCTTTCTTTGACTCAACACAAAGGATGGCAGCCAAGGGCAAGGGGAAATGTCCTAGCACAGACCAGGCTACTTACATCCTTTGTCCAGAAATTGATGCCCGTGCCTCTTCGTCGTTCCTTGGGCCGCCTCCTCTCACGGATGGACAGCCTGTGAGAGGACTGGTCATCCAAATCTGCTTCTTCACTCTCTGGCCAGAGATAAAACAAAGTATAGATGTTAAGCATCTGGGGCATGCACAATGGGGAGAGGTCTGCGTTTTCTGAAGCTCTACATACCATTTTTGTCCATTTCTTTTGCAACTGCAGCGTTCGTGGTGGTCTCTGAACTCTCAGAATCAGGGACTGAAGACCTATTTGTCCGTAGTAGGTGGGAACTGGTGTAGAGAGAGGGTCTGGATGCAGAAGGAGACACTGGTGTTGTGGGTTTGTCCGGCTGAGTTGGACACCTCAGGCGACGATAGACAGGCTGGAAGTAATCCACAGGAGGAGACGTTAGAGGTCAAGTGCAACCACGGGATAAGGACAGCAGGTTTATTAAACACGGGCTTTTCCTATATCGAGAGGCTTGTTCCTAGCAGACGCTCAGTAAGTAGCTATTGAGCTGAAGTGAGTTAATCAAAGAAAGGAAACAGCTTCTGGACTCCTGTTCTGAATAGATCACCATGTTGACAGCAGCCAGCGAATGATTCCTAAATCAACCACAGGGCACTAGGTAGCACTAACCTTCCTAATAAAAATTCCTTTGATTTTGGAATGAAACTAGAAAGGATGATGGCCTTTTTAAGATGGAGCACTGAAAGGCAAGGTTTATGCAGGAAAACAGAAAGCTGAGGAATATGAAGGAAGAACACAGCGTTATCTGAGGACAGGGACCAAACAGGAACATTCTGCACTTTCTGAATGCTCTGTCCACTTGCCATACCAGGCTCATTGAAACTTCAAAGAAATTCCCATTTTCCCTTTTAAATTTTATTTTCCTGAGCATTAGGACAGATAGACCTGATAATAAGCCTTAACTTGGTTTATCTAAGATGCACAGATAGAGAAATTCTTACTACACACAGAGATTATATACATTTTTGTTTATAAATTATAAAGGCAGAAGCAATAAAATAACGTAAGCTTTGGAGTCAGATAGACCTTGGTTCAAATTCTAGCTTCAGCATTTACTGGCTATGTGACCCTGAATATGTTACTTAACTTCTCTGAGCCTCAGTTTCCTTGTATGTAAGTAGGGATAGTATCTTCCCCAGTGAGGGTTGTGAGGATTAAATGAGATAATGTATGTTACGTGCTTAGAACAGTAGCTAGTAATAAGTACTTAGTAAATAGTAGCTGGTAAGACAAACAAATTAAACAACAGAATCTCAGTTAGTTTATGCAGCCTAGCCATGCAGAGTTAAAGTAAAATGGAGATTCCTTTCTCCTATAACTGTGGGGACCATGTAATTTATCATCCCAACTGGGACACTTCTGAGAGTGAAAAGGGGTGGTATTGATAATTACACACAGATAACAGGTATAATTGGAACCATCTCAGATAAACCAGGAGTTATGTTCACCCTAAATATAACCCTATATCTTTGACTTCCAACTCCACTTGAGAAAGGGAAAATGAGTTAAAATGTCCATCCCAGTAGTGACATCCTATGGCACGGGACTAGGGGTGCTCTGTAAGCTCTTAGGTTTGCAGGAGTTTGGAGAACAATATACCGATGGTTAAGACAGCGAGCTGTGGAGCCAGACTGCCGATATGCAGATCTTTGCCCCACCACTTCTTAGCTGTGTGAAATGCTGGGCAAGTTATCTAACCTCTCTGTGAATCAGTCTCCTCATATTTGATAGGAATAATAATGTCTACCTCAGAGGGTTGCTTTAAGGATTAAACAAACTAATACATGAAATAGTTAAGATAATGCCTGGTATAAACGCTCAGTAAATGCTTATACTTCATTTGCATTTTATTATACTATGACCTCTTTTTTAGAACAGAAAGACATTTATTCTTTAGGTAAAGAATAAATTTAGTTAAGTTGAATTTAACTAAACTTATTGTGGTGATCATTTTGCAATATACACATATATCAAATCATTATGTTGTACACCTAAAATGAATATAATGTTATATGTCAATTATATCTCAATAAAACTGGAAAAAAGAATAAGCATTAGTTAACTCCCAGAAGAAAAATGATCATTAGGGACTGACATTCTCTGAAGTCTCTCAGTCACGCAGGTGTGTCAACTACAGGCACGTGTACAGCGTCCTCTACGAGCTGCCCACTGAAAAGGAGCACAGCACTCGGATTATCAGTGAGGAAGAGATTCCCCACACAACTACCTTGCTTTTCACACAGTCCGTGCCAGCACAAACGAGCTCACCTCTTCATCCAGACTCCTGCCCCAGGGCTGCTGGCCCTCCCCAGCTCCCTTTGCTGGGGCCGCTGAGGGCTCAGGCTTCTTGGTGCTCCCCTCAAGCCCCTCGGCGCCCACGGGCTTCTGGCCTGGGTGCTCCTGAGCTTGCCGCTCCGCCCTCGACCGGCTGCAAGTCCTCTCTGCTTCCTGCAGGTCTGTCAGGGTCACACCCTGGGAAAACATCACACGTTCAGAGAAGTTTCGCTCTAACCATGGAATAACTTCACGAACAAGCAGGGAAACTTCCTAAAAGATCTAATAGCATCAAATTCCAAATGAAGATCCCCAAATCTCTGAGGTCAATTCAAGCAATATACGTTTAAAATAAACACCTCAGTGTGCAAAGAACCAAGGTTTAAGTCTAGGTACATTTCAAATAATACTTTAGCTTTTCCAATTTGAGTTCCAGAAAATAGGTCAACACTGAAGCCTGCCTGTTGTAGATGTACTTCTTCCACACCAACGGTTCTCAACATCTTTATTTGAAAGCTCCCTACCCTCCCAAGAGCAAATGGTTACCAACAGAGGTTCTCTAAACAGCAGATACTAGAAAAACTTAATTTTACTCATAGAAAGAAAAACCAGGAGCCGGCCCGGTGGCGTAAGTGGTTAAGTGCGTGCGCTCCGCTGCGGTGGCTCGGAGTTCACCGGTTCATAACCCCGGGCGCGCACCGATGCACTGCTTGTTAAGCCATGCTATGGCGGCGTCCCATATAAAGTGGAGGAAGATGGGCACGGATGTTAGCCCAGGGCCAGTCTTCCTCAAAAAAAAAAAAAAAAAGAAGAAAGAAAAAGAAAAAGAAAAACCAGGCTCAAAAAGGCAAATTCAGAGCCAGGCTAGAACAACAACAACAAAAACCAAACTTCCCCCTTCCCCCAAACTAGCTTTTCTCTAACATCATTTCCCAAATAACCCAAGGAATCACACAGGGACATTCCAATAATTAATGTTCCCTCAGGCTCACAGGAGCAGCAATACAGAAGAAAAGCAAATAATGAGGAGACGTTGCAGAAGGAGAAAAGGAGTGAGGAAGAAAGTGAGCTGATCCTAACTCCAGTAGTTACGTGCTCAAGTTCTCAGGAGAAGGAGGTTCCAAAGCTGAAACGCAGTTGGGCAAGTACTATATCCATAACTTGCTTTTTTTTTTCATTATTCACTAATCTATTCACTCATTCTCTTAATAAAGAACTATTAAGTGTCTTCAAGAACTGGAACTACAAAGACAAATCAAATGATTCCTGTACTCAAGAAACTTTTACTGTCATGGAAAAGACATAAGAAAACAGATAAGTATAATGGAATGTACGTATCAAGACAGAAATACATGATTCAGCAAATTCCACTTCTGGGTATATACCCAGAAGAACTAAAAGCAGGGCCCTGAAGATAATTTGCACACTCATGCTCATAGTAGCATTATTCACAGTAGCCAAAAGGTAGAAGCAACCCAAATGTTCATTGGCAGATGGAGGAACAAAATGTGGAGCATACATACAATGGAATATTACTCATCCTTACAAAGGAAGAAAGTTCTGACACATGCTACAACATGGAAGAACCTTGAAGACATTATGCTAAGTGAAATAAGCATACAAAAGGACATATACCGTATGATTCCACTTACATGAGGTCCCTAGAGGAATAAATTCATAGAGACGGAAAGCTGAAGGGTTGGTGCCAGGGGCTGGGGAGAGGGAATTATTGTTTAATGGGTACGAAGTTTCAGTTTGGGAAGATGAAAAATGTTCTGGGGATGGATGGTGGTGATGGTTGCAAAATAAATGTGAACGGACTCAATGCCACTAAACTGCACACTTAAAAATGGTTAAAATGGGGGCCGGCCCAGTGGCGCAGCGGTTAAGTGCATGCGCTCCGCTTTAGTGGCCCGGGGTTCACAGGTTCGGATCCCGGGTGCGTCAGTGCGCGCCCAGCTTGTTAAGCCATGCTGTGGCGGTGTCCCATATAAAGTAGAGGAAGATGGGCACGGATATTAGCCCAGGGCCAATCTTCCTCAGCAAAACAGAGGAGGATTGGCATCGGATGTTAGCTCAGGGCTAGTCTTCCTCACACACACAAAAAAAGGTTAAAATACCATTTTACCATGTTACCATTTACATAATGTATGTTTTACCGCAATAAAACAAAACAAAACATGATAGTCAGTCTTGGTCCTCATGGAGGTTACATTCTAATAGAGAAACAGACAATCATCAACGACAACAAAATAACAACTCTCATAATCACTATAAAGGAAGGATACTTGACCTACTTTGGGAGGGTCAGGGAAGATAAGGATATTTTTGCTGCCATGTATAACATCTCTTTTTCAGTGCAGCTTTCCCACTTGACCTCTGTACCCTTTAAAACTGTTGAACTTCACCTTTTCACTGGCTTTTGATTCACTTCCACGTCGGTACTATTTCCTGGTTTACTTCTCACCTCTCTGTCTGCTCCTTTTCATTCTGCTTCATCGGCTCATCTACTCTGCCTCCTTAAATAACGCCAATTCATCACTTTCTCTCTGTTCTCACTGCCACTCCAACTGGGTTTGTGCTCTGATTATTTCCAGCGTGGACAACTATAACAGCTTCCTAACTGGTCTTCTTGCTTTCAGGCTTGACAAACATACTTCTGCCCTCTACTCCCATCAATTCTATGCAAGGTGATTTTTGCAAAATCTAATATACGTTATATCAGACGCTTCCTTACTTCAAAGGCTTCCTTAGTGATTCTTTTTTTTCCAACATCTTTATTGAACATAACCCACATATCATAAAATCCAGCCTTTTAAAGTATACAGTTCAGTGGTTTTTGGTATATTCACAGAGTTGTGCAGTCATCATCACTATTTAATTTCAGAATATTTTCATCACCCCCAAAAGAAACCCCATACCCATGAGTTATCAATTGCCATTCCTCCCTCTCTACAGCCCCTGGCAAATACTAATCTACTTTCTGTTTCTCTGGATTTGCCTATTCTGGACATTTTCATAAGAATGGAACTGTGTCTGGTTCCTTTCAGTTCCCACACCATTTTCTTGAGGTTCATCCGTGTTGTAGCATTAGCACGTAACAGTACTTCATCTCTTTTTATTGCCAAATGATATTCCATTGTATGGATATATAACATTTTGTTTATCCAGTCATTAGTTAATGGAAATTTGAGTTGTTTCTACTTATTGGCTATTGCAAATAATGCTGTTATAAACATTTGTGTACCAGTTTTTGTGTGGACATATGTTTTCACTTCTCGAGTATACATCTAAGAGCAGAATTGCTAGGTCACATGGTAATTCTATGTTTAACATTTTGAGAAACTACCAGACTGTTCTCCTCTAGGGATTCTTAAGATGTGGTCCTTTAAACACAAGTGGAATGATTAGTCTTGTGAAGGAAAGGAGACGAACCTGCTCTGAGCCTGGAGGAACAGAAGCGAGAGTGGGTAGATGTAGCTATAAATTCATTTGATTCTATGTAGTATAAGATTTAACATAGGTGAAAGCTTTTAATATAGTGGCTGGACTAAGCTACTCATTTTACTTTTTTTTTTTTTTTTTTGGTGAGGAAGACTGGCCCTGAGCTAACATCTGTTGCCAATCTTCCTCTTTTTGCTTGAGGAAGATTGTCCCTGAGCTAACATCTGTGATAATCTTCCTCTATTTTATATGTGGGATGCCTGCCACAGCATGGCTTGATGAGCGGTGTGTAGGTCTGCCCCAGGGATCCGAACCCACGAACCCTGGGCCACCAAAGCAGAGCACGTGAACTTAACCAGTATGCCACCAGGCTGGCCCCCCATTTTCCTATTTTTTAATTGTAGCTCCAATGGAAAGGTAGACAGACAAAAGAACATAAAAAAAGAGGTCACACTCACCTGAGTAGACCTTCGAGTCTGCCGAGCTTGTCTGGAGCGTGCCTTCCGCAATGACTCTGCTTCCTCATCGCGTACAGGAGTCAGGTATGACCTGCAGAGGAAGAAGAGTAATACCTGAAGTAAGACCTTCACTGCGTGTGCTGAAGAACGGCAGGTGCTTCCACATACCGACGTGACATCTACACTCTGAGAATGAAACGACAGGAACCCTATGAGTGAAAATTACATAATCTAAGATATTCTTTGCAAAGGTACTACTATTCATGCAGAATCATATCATCTGTAAAATGAGAATTTTATCTTTTTCCCTCACCTTACAATTTTTCTTTCTTTTCCTGCCTTAATGCGCTGACTAGAACCTCCAGGACATGATGAAAGGAGTGATGATTGCAGATTTCCGTGCTTTGTCCCTGCCTTCAGAGACAAAGCCTTCAGCATTTTATCATTAAGTGTGATGTCTACTGTAATATTTCTGTAAACACTGCTCCTCAATTACAGCAATTCCTTTCCATTCCTACTGGAAGCAGGCTAAGAGGGTTCTGATGTTATTTGTTTTGTTTTTTAATCATTAGTATGTGTTAAACTTTATCACATGCTTTTCTTCCCCTTACATTGAGATTATTGTTTTCCTTCATTTTTCTGTTAATATGGTGAATCACACTGAATAATTTTTGAATGATAAAAACAACACTGAATTCTTAGGGATAAGCTCAACTTGGTCATGATGTATCATCTTTTTATATAGACTTACCTTTTATATAGATTCAGCATTATTTAGTTTAGGATTTCTCCATCTGTGTTCATGCAAGAAACTGGCCTATAATTTTCCCTTGTTATAATCACCTGGCCAGGTCTGGAGATTAAGGTTACGCAAGTTGGGAAGTGTTTTCTCCTTGTCTATTTTCTGTAAGAATTTTTGTAAGATTGGGGATATTTCCTCCTTAAATAATTGGAAGAGCTCACCAATGAAGCCACCTAGGTTTAGAGTGTTCTTTATGCGTAGGTTTTAAATAATAGGTTCAATTTCTTTAACAGATTTAGGGCTGTTCAGATTTTCTGTTTTGGTAATATTTGTTTTTCAAGGAATTTTATCTATATTTTCATAGTTAGTCACACAAAATTCTTCATAATATCCTTATATTTTAATTGTCATTTTAATATGTATAGCAACAGTTCTCAAATTTTTTGGTCTCAAGACCCTTTTACATTTTAAAAAATTATTGAGGACCTCCGAAGAGCTTTTGTTTACATGGGGACATATCTATTAATATTTATCTTATTAGACATTAAAATTGAGAAATTTAAAAATATGTATTTATTAATTCATTTAAAAATAACAGCCTTATTACATGTTAACATCAATAACTTATCTTCTATGAAAAATAACTACATTTTCCAAAACAAAAAATTTAGTAAGAGTGGGATTGTTTTACATTTTTGTAAATTTCCTTAATGTTGGCTTAATAGAATGCAGCTGGATTTCCATATATGCTTCTGCATTCAATATGTTAAATATGTTGTTTTAGTTAAAATATATAAAGAATATCCAGTCTTGCACAGGTATGTAGCTGGAAAAGCAAGGAGTATTATAATAGCCTTTTCAGATAATTGTGGATATTCTTCCATACTCTATCAAAACACAAGTGGTATTTTCTTACAGGGTAGCTGCAATGTGGAATCTGAAATCATGTTAATAGACTTTTCATACTCTGTTACACTGAAATTCATTGCTTTATCTTGCACTTTGAATGGAACTTCTTACCCATGCATGATTTGGGAACATCATGCATTGGTCATTTGGAAAATACTGGTGATATTCCAAATGTTGACATATTTCATTATATAACAGTAATTTTAAAAATCACAAGCTTTAACACAGAGGTTAAGCTCCTTGACATCGGTCTTGGTGATGATGTTTTGGATTTGACACCAAAATCAAAGGCCACAAAAGCAAAAATGAGCAAGTGGGACTTCATCAAACTAAAAGTCTTCTGCCCAGTAAAGGAAACCATCAACAAAATGAAAAGGAAACCTACAGAATGGGATAAAATATTGGCAAATCATATATCTGATGAGTTAATATCCAAAATATATAAAGAACTCATACAACTCAACAGAAAAAAATCCAGTTAAAAATGAGCAGAGGGGTAGAGCCGGCCTGGTGGTGTAGTAGTTAAGTTCGCGTGCTCTGCTTTAGTGGCGCAGGGTTTGCAGGTTCAGATCCTGGGCGAGGACCTACCCATCACTCATTAAGCCATGCTGTGGCGACATCCCACATAAAAAATAGAGGAAGATGGGCACAGATGTTAGCTCAGGGCCAATCTTCCTCACCAAAAAAAAAAAAAAAATGAGCAGAGGGGGCCAGCCCTGGTGGCCTAGTGGTTAAGTTCAGTGTGCTCCCCTTTGGCGATCCAGGTTCAGTTCCAGGGCGTGTACCTACACCATTCATCTGCCAGTGGCCATGTTGTGGTGGCAGCTCATATACAAAAAAAAAAAAAAAAAGAAAACAGGCAGCTGACCTTAGCTCAGGGCAAATCTCCCTCAGCAAAAAAAAAAAAAAAGAGCAGAGGAACTGAATAGACATTTTTCCAAAGAAGACATACAAATGGCCAACAGGTACATGAAAAGGTGCTCCACATCACTAATCATTAGGGAAGTGCAAATCAAAATCACAATGAGGTATCACCTCATACCTGTTAGCACGGCTATTATCAAAAAGACAAGAAACAAATGTTGGTGAGGCTGTGGAGAAAAGGGAACTCTTGTGTATTGTTGGTGGGAATGTAAATTGGTGCAGCCACTATAGAAAACAGTATGGAATTTCTTCAAAAAATGCAAAATAGAACTACTGTATGATCCAGCAATTCTACTTCTGGGTATTTATCCAAAGGAAACAAAATCACTAACTCAAAAAGATATCTGCAGCCCATGTTCACTGCAGCATTATTTACAATAGCCAAGATATAGAGATAATCTAAGTGTCCATCGACAGATGAATGAATAAAGAAAATGTGTTATTTAAAAAAAATATATATATATACATACACAATGGAATATTACTCAGCCATAAAAAGGAAGAAAAGCCTGCCATTTGCAACAACATGGATAGACCTTGAGTGTATTACAGCAAGGGAGATAAGTCAGACAAATACCGTATGATCTCACTTATGTGTAGAATCTAAAAAACCCCCCTGAACTCATAGATACAGAGAACAGACTGGTAGTTGCAGAGGTGGGGGGGTAGAGGGTGGGCGAAGCAGGTAGAGGCGGCCAAAAGGTACAAACTTGCAGTTATAAGATTAATCATTCCTGGGGAAGTAATATACAGCATGGTGACTATAGTTAATGAGATTCTATTGTTTTTTTGAAAGTTGCTAAGAGAGTAGATCTTAACAGTTCTCATCACAAAAAAAATTTGTAACTATGTGTGGTGATAGATGTTAACTACACTTATGGTGGTGATCATTTATTAAATCATTATGTTGTATGATATAATAAACTAACACAATGTTATATGTCAATTATATCTCAAAAAATAGTAAAAATTTAAAAAATCACATTCTTTTATATAACTTTTGATCTTAGAACATATTTACATATTGGGAAGCAGTCAATAATATCACTCACAGTGGCAGATACAAATTTTCCAAAATTCTAACTTCTACTTGAAATTTTAAATTTTATAATTGGCAAGAAATACTTGAAGTGACAGGCTCACTTTGCTCATTTTCAAGAAAACGTCTGCCACATACCCAAGTCTGAATAACCATAGTTTGACCAGTCACTCTTCCAAGTAAAAAGAGTGTTCCATGAAAAAAAGTAGCTAGTTCCTCTCTTCTCTTCTTCTGGGATTCCAATTACACTTATGTCAGAACCTACTGGCCATGTTCCATTTATTTATTACACGTTTTTGTATCTTCCATCCTTTTATCTGTCTGGGTTTCATTCTGGATATTTTCTACTGTCCAATCTAATTAGTTCACAAATCCTCTCTTCAGCTGGTCTACTACAATTGAATTTCTTAACTTTAGTCATTTTATTTTTCAGTTTTAGAATTTCCATTTGATTCTTTTAAACAGATTGCAGTTTTCTGTTGAAATTCTCCATCTTGTCTTCTAACTCCTTGCACGTATTAACTATAATTATTTTAAAGTCCGTGTCTCGATATCTGGATCTGTTCTACTGTCTATTTTTTCTCTTAGTCTTTTTGTAAATCAGTCTTACTTCTTGGTATGTCTCGTAATTTTTGAATTAATGCCAGACATTTTTAATGAAAAAAACGTGCTGAGAACTTGCAGCTCTGGATGCTGCTGCCATCCTCCAGAGGATATTCTTTTCTTCTGGCAGTCATGCGAAGGGAGGGGTTCTCAAATTCTCACTTGCACCATATCATTGGAGGACTTGTGAAACACAAGTTGCTAGGTAGAGCCTAGAAGTCCTGATTCAGTAAGCCTGGAGCAGGATCTGAGAATCTACGTTTCTAATTAGTTCTCAGGTGATGCTGCTGACCTGGGGACCACAGTTTGAGAACCACAGGGCTAATGCAAATTACCTTAATCCACTTTGAGACTGAGCTGACGGGCTTGTCTATTTCTGAAAAGCCGTTATTTCTAGAATGTAGCCCTTGGCGGTCCCATATGGAAGTCTGGGGTGTCTACTGGGGCCCCTCTTCTTGAACTCCCATTTTTGTTCCCTCAGCTCTAGGATACTACTGAAAATCTTGCCCTGTTTCTCAGCCTCGCAGCCACTGCTTCACGAATCAGCAAACGCCTCAAGGGGAAAAGCAGAGCCAAAAGTTGGTTCACTCTTTTATGATTTCTTCCCCTCCAGGATCTTGATCCCTCAAGTCCTCACTTCCTTAATAACTCTCCAATACCTACAAAGGTATTTTTTCCTTATATTTATCCAGTTTTTCTAGTTATTTTCAGTGGGAGAGTTCGTCTCATATAAGACACGCCATAGCCTGAAGCAGAAGTCCTCAACCAGGCTGTATTTTAATAGTCATATTTTTCCTCAGTGTGGATTAGTAAATTGGAATTCTGATATATATATCAATCCACCATGAATTTGGTAGGTTTGAGTCCTTTCTTA